GCACAACCCCGATACCAGGTATTGTTACGGCTGTGGGAAGCCAGGCCAGGTCCAGTGTGAGTATTCTAGAGGAGGTCCGCCCATCTCCCCCAGCCCCTGAAACAGGGGTGGGAGGGAAGCCTGCCTCCACCTGTTTGCAGTGTGGAACTCCAGGACACCGAGCTCATGAGTGTCCCAAGCGAGTCTTAGTGTCAACAGATCCTTTGGGGCCCTGGCTCCGTAACTCCTTCTGACACTACCACTGACATCAAACTCGAGGGGCCATGGGTGTGTGTGGACGTTGAGGGCAAGTCCATCTGCTTCTTGCTGGGCCCTGGAGCTGCATATTCGGTAGTAACATTTTTGGGTGTGGTTTTTTTGTTTTGTTTTAACTTCCTCCTACCACCATGTTGTTGGCATGAGTGGGCTGCTAACTAAGAGGTCTCTCACACCTCCTCTGCCCAGCACCCGGGAAGGCGCTTTATTCTCACATTAGTTTTTAATGACTCCTGAGTCCCTCGCTCTGCTTCACTTTTAGGAAGAGATTTCTTCTTCAAACTAAGAATTCAGATGACACTCACACCTGTTTCTATTGCTCATATAAGAATTAAAGCCTCTTTAGATTCTGTCTCACAGATATCACCATTTGAGTTCATGTGTACCTGGCCCCGTTGCCTATACATAAATTCAGAGTCCTGACTGGGCAGGGAAAGTCCATGGAGTTAAACTATGAGTCCACCTGTCCCAAGTCAAGCCAATTCAAGCTCCAGGAAACAGCAGCACTAAACAGAAAGGTATTTTCTAGTGTGTGCCTACCTAAAGCTTAAGACTTCTCTTTAAAAAGCAAAAAACCTGAGCAGAGAGGCTGAAGAGATTTAACCCCTATAGGTAGAGGAGGCACCTGCCTCTCCCCGCCTCCAAAGCAGCTGCTTTAGCATTTGAACTTGGTGCTTGTACATAAAAAACATAAGAATGAAATCCCTCTAAAGACAACTAAACTCTTTGCGAGAGCTTAGTAAAAAGTGACGGAATTTCCATATTCAGTGGTTGCTTATTTGGTCAGGTAAAAGTTAGCAAAAGAAAAGAATTTAGATGGATATAGTAAGTCACAGAGAGTCAGAGCAAGTTGCATATAATTCAGAGAAGGTGCTGAATAGTATTTGTCTTGTAATAAAGTGTCTGGTTGCCCCAAAAATATGACAGAGAAACCTGGAAGTACGCATGCCGTTGTGTGGAGAGAAGTTGGTGAGAAAGATGAAGTGAATCCGTTTGCTATGAGAAGGATGATAAGAAATATCAAAGTCTGTGAGAACCGATTCTCACTGACTGCCATAACCTGTCCTATCTTAAAATCGACCAAGGGGAATGCAGGAAAAGAAATGAACCCTATAGTTTCAGTTGATTCATAAAAAGCCTTCAAGCCGTTCTCTCAGAAACCGTGAAGCCAATCCATTCAGACCTTAAAGATGGCATCTGAAGTCTCGTAGTTGCAATTAGCAGAAAGAATAAATACCAAGAGCTTCAAGAACTTCAGGGGGCAACTCAGCTCAGCTCCTGCACCAAAGATGACTGCAGCCCCACATCATTCGCATCCCCTTCTCTTCTCCACTGGCCGTCCTAAGATGAGTTGTTATCCTGGCTCATGAAAGAAAGTCATCCCTTTCTCTCCTACAACTTTCTCAGGTCCCTGGCGTCTGAGCACAGCATGTGGAACAGATCTGTCTCCATGTAAACAGGCTCTGTGAATCCGCATGTCCTGAGCTGGCTCTTGCCCCCTTTAGAGTCCTTGTTTATGATAATCCTACTGCTAATTTCTTGGCCTGTTCCCATTTAACACTTCCAGGCTCCGACTGCTCCACATACAGATAATGATTTTGACTGAGCATCGGCCAATTCCTTTATGGAGCATCTATCAGGATGCAGCCAGCATCCTTCAAGGACAGCGATCCACTGTTGGATGGCTGATTTCCCCAGCAGATGTGGGGATAAAGAATAGGGTCAGGAAGAGAGCAGACTCGTAGGGTAGCAAAGTCCCCTACCAGCTTGAAGCAGCTATATAGGTCTTTGTCTATTTCCCCCAAATAATTTTGGGTCCTGCTTTCTTCAAAAAGGACTGACAGGTCAGAGCAGGGACTTCTGCCGTGTCTGCTAAGGGGGTGCACAAAGGGCGCTGTGAAATAAGTCATGAACAAAACACGGAGAGCTGCCTTGGTAAACCCCTTAACCCTGAAGCCAGGCCCCAGGAACAGTCTGACATAGGCCTGTACTCAAAGATAATTCTGAGACATGCTCACCGAGAGCAGCAGCCCTAATACCACCGAAAGAAATGATGTTATGAGACCCAAGGACACACTGAGTAAGTAATCAGGAAGTTGCCTGACCATCTAGAGCAGCAGCATCCCCCCTCCCCCCGCCCTTTTAAAGTGCCACATCAAAACTAAAAGCCTTCCCCTCTAGACAGTATCCTCAGCTCAACTCACAAGGGAGGAGGCCTGCTTCCTTCTCAGGGTGAAGCCTATCTCAGCAACGCTTAAGGTGACCCTTCTCACCTCAACAGAGGACTGGCTTCATTTCTTTTGCAGTGACTCTCTGCTTTCAATAGTGTGAGGTTTAACTGGTCACCGCCACCGCTGCTGTGTGTGTGTGTGTGTGTGAGACAGATTGGGGGGAGGGGGGGAGGCTTGTCTCTAGACCCTAACAACCCACACAGGTTCAGAGCTTGCTAGTTCCCCTGTGGACGACAGCCCAGGAACTGAACTTCACAAAAAAAGCCCAAGCTTACTGATCAGATAGAGACTGGTACAGCCCCCAAACTACGGCCCTTTGCCAACCTTGAAGTCTGGAAATGAGCTCCCCTCCATAGCGCAAAAGGCCCATAAGGGAAACACAAGCACTAGGGGAGATAAGGACACCTTGGAACAATCAGCCCTTTGAGTTCAAAAGGGCATCATTTCTTCAAGGTCAAAGCAAAATGAAGAAAGGTTGGGAGGAATGGAGACTGGAAACAAAGAAAGTGGGGTAAGTGATGTTACATTGTGGGGTTGCCATCTATGGCATCAGACATTATGTGCATGGGCTGTTGAGTGTAAAAGCGACCTATTCTGTAAATCTTCCCTCATTTCACACACACACAAAAAGTTCTCAAGAAAAAAAACAAACCCACAATCTCATTGATCACATCAGATGACCCTCCCTCCAGTCTGCTCACATTAGACAAATCATCGGGAGGGGCAACTGCTGGAGAAGGGCATTGTGTTTGGTGAAGTGGGGGGTGAGCAAGGCTGAGGGTTCCTTTCAGTTAAACGAACTGGCACAATACCTGCAATGAACTTAACACATGAGGACGTCTCAGGAGCCAGTGAAATGTCGTCCATACTGCAGTCATGAGTTGGCATCTATTGGGTGACAGCTCTCCATCTAGTCTCATTCTTTTTTCACCCTCATAATAGCTGTATCAAGAAGGCCTGGTGGCATAGCGGGTTGCTCATAGGGCTGCTAAACACAAGGTGAGCAGTTCGAATCCACCAGCTGCTCTGAGGGAGAAAGACGAGACTGTGATTCTGCATCGACAATCATGAGTTACTGCACTTATCATAGTACCAGCTCGGGGCTTCACAGACTAGAGGTACGGATCTTGATTAGATCTGCAGACTCAGAAACCCACAGGGGCAATGCTACTCTGTCTCATAGGATCACTATGAACCAGTATCAACTTGATTGGCAGTGAATCTTGCCTCTGAACTTGGTTAGTTTATACATGCGCGGAGTAAGCAAAAGCAGCCCACTCTAGTCCCCCTAGGGATTGCGCTAGCCCACCTCCCCAGGGTGGCAGGTCAGCAGTTTTACAGTCTCCCTGCCCTCCATGCCACCCCCTCCCATGAGTTTAGGCCCTAAAGCGCTCGCACCCCCATTTCTTCTTCGCTGTTTGAGAACTACGATGCCTGCCTAGCACGCAGTAGTAGTTGCACAGGCAAAAGGAAACAGCTCTTTGTTCCATAACACAGGAGAGCCCCCAAACCAGGCCCTGCCGCTGCGTCGGAAGTGCTCTAAAGAGAAGAGCATGGGGCTCGAACCCTCACCACCGCATGCCTCCCCGCCCCCCACCCAGAGAAACGTCCTCCAAAGAGCGCTCAGCCAGTCGCCAAATTCCTGGCCCCATTCGTTGGGCTCGGCCCATTCCTGGGCGGTTCCCCGACGCCCGCGGACCGACCACGCGCCCCA